CGTGACAGAGTTTCGAGATATCGATAGTCTCGATGTTTGTCCTTTTTATAATAGGAAGAGTTTCGAGATATCGATAGTCTCGATGTTTGTCCTTTTTATGATAGGATTGAAACGCACGTGGATTAATGAAATAATATTTACCAGAGAAATATAAAAGATTGATAACAACATGTCGAAAGTACGAATCGAAATGGATTCGGGGAAATGTTGAAAATGAAAAATTCATAACGATATTGATAAATAAAATCGAATATCGTACCCCAATGGGTGAAAACCGTTGAAAGGGTTGACTATAGGACCAGGGAAAATCGATGGAGTCGATCGTAAAATGGTCTTCCATCATTGGAGATGGCCAACTCTCGATACGAGAGATCGATTCTCTCGACACTTAACCCCAGCCAATTTCACTCCGACTAAAATCTCGCTTATCCCTCGAGAATAATTTTATAGAGCGTGAAACAGAAACTGCCAATCATTAGCATCACGCTGTAAACAACAGCCAATTCCCAGCAATGACTTAAGAATAATAGAATAAAAAAAAAAATCCATATAATCGTCTATTATTATAAGTCGTATGTGTGCTGAAGCGTGACACATGGAGAACCGATTGGGAAAGCGGTAGATTGGCGATTGTCGGATAACATGCAGTCGTTTCGAGACAAAAACCGGTCTCCCAGCCCTTGAATGAGTTACTTTTGTCTATTTGCAACTGGAGTAACTGGATTTTTAATGCTTTAATGGCTTGGGCATGGAAATTACCAGTTGTATTTCCCGCGAGGGGTTATGTTGTCAGGGTAAACCCTTAATATGATAATTCACTCCTTTGAGAGAATGTTGTGTAGAAGTTAATGGGTATGATGCAATTTGTTTGGAATAACGAGAATTTGAATATCATTCTCATGAGGATTTATGATTTTTTACAGATTTCTGGCAATCTGGTGGCCCCTGAAGTGCCAGATAACGAAACGTCGTGCTCGCCTTCTGATTGTTGTCATCTGGTTCATAGCCCTGGCGATAACTCTACCCTGGCTGATGTTCTTCGATATAATAATTCTCCCCAACAATATGGATCAATCGTTCTGCGTTGAGGAGTGGCCACGGAAGCAGGACGAAAGGCTATTCTTCCTGATCGGCAATCTCATGTTCTGTTACGTATTACCGATGATTCTCATTTCCCTGTGCTACATCGCCATTTGGGTGAAGGTGTCACGTCGAAACATCCCCACGGACACGAAGGACGCTCAGATGGAGAGGATACAACAAAAATCCAAGGTCAAAGTCGTCAAGATGCTGGTGGTGGTTGTGATTCTGTTTGTGCTGTCCTGGTTACCCCTGTACGTTATCTTTGCGCGGATAAAACTTGGGGGTGTACCAACAATTTGGGAGGAGGAAGTCCTCAATATTGCTACACCCATTGCCCAGTGGCTTGGCTCCAGCAACTCCTGCATTAATCCCATCCTGTACGCATTCTTCAACAAGAAATATCGTCGTGGCTTCATGGCTATTCTCAAGAGTGGACGGTGCTGCGGTAAATTACGGTACTACGAGACTGTTGCAATAATGTCATCATCAACGAGCATGAGAAAGTCATCTTACTACGTTAACAACAACTCGTCGACACGTCGCACGTGTCATGGGCCACCGGTACATCAGGATAGCAATGTATCCTACATCTTCAATCACACCGGTGTTTAAGAATTTAATTATAATCAGCATTGACGCATCCAGTGAATGGATCAATTTGCTTATCGCTGAATAACGATTCAACGAGACGATCTCCGATGAACTGCCAGCTCGAGATTTTCGCTGTCAATTTGTTATGATCATGAATTTGACATGATCGTCGCTCGGGCTGGACTCTTGCGATTGGACTTTTATCTGTGGAATCAAATGTTTCCCAAATTTTTGAGAGATGGATTTTTTGATGATGCATTACCCGGCGGGGTGACTAGTGTGCAACTATTGTCTTTGATGATTAGTCATATTGTGGAATATCCCGTCATATCTTGTGTAGATTGTATACGCTGAAGATTCCTCAGACACTGACACTTAGTCATAACTTTTTTTTTTTTTTTTTGCCCCCATTACACAACACAAATCATATATTTTCTTACCGGGGGTGAATATTGTCCGTTTGACGTGACACATGTGATTTTTCAAAAAGAATTTTACGTAATAGGGACGTCCCTAGGATGTTTTATAATGTTTCGACGAGGATGGATATCGCGGGCAGTTGCTTGGAGTTGAATATTTTCTTAAAAAATCGATTAAATAAGTTTAACGTGAAAATTGATAAAACGTTTGTATACTAATGTGCAGAAATACGAATCACTGAGTCATGGAGTCTACCAATAATGTGGATGCACGAGTACTATTTAGTCGTAATCCACTGTGATAAATAATTGACATTAACAGATTTCGCGAGTTGGTTTCACTGATGTGGATATTAAATAATTAAAGATAAGCGTGGATCAGAGCAGGGCACGATAACCATGATAATAATGTTTTAAATTGATAGATTCACATAAATAAACAGCACAGAAACACCCTGAAGCTTGTTAATGTCTCGGTGTGGGGGACATATCTTATAGCTTTCATGGTAATCACATGCCAAACGCTTAATTAATGACCATCACCTGCGACACGATCACGCGCAATTTTTTTACTCATCATTTACATGTCGGCCCTATTCTCCGTTGATCATTATTTAATGTAAATAGTACCGTGAGATTACTCCAATATTTGACAGATGAATTTTTCATCGCATGTGCATGCAATAGTTTATAAAATATCTATACATACTATTAAGGGAAAGTTGTGATTGCATAAGTAAGGTTGAGGGTGATTTTTATAATGAGTAGGATATCGTGGGGTTTTTAATATTGG